TGGCACTCTTGAACTCTTGCAGAGGGTTAACTGTCTCTAGTGCTCCATGTTTACAGGTTGACAGGTTCTGTTCGCAGAAGGTGCTGTGAATGGCAGAATTGAAACGTTGTGTTTACGTAAACAGCATGAGGAGAGTTGGACCGGACCGCACGTCTGCTGCCACACAGATGACGAGACGGGCTTTCTGGGACATGTCCTCACAATACGCCTCACTGCTGCCCCAGCTAGTTGATAATGTTTGTCTTGAGTGTGTGTTTTGCTCCATTGCTGTTCCCTTTCCCCCCCAAGGATACCAAGACCATGAGCTTCATTCTTGGCAGATTTTTCCCACATGCGACGGCCAACTGTGCATTATTTATATGTTTTTAATGCCATGCATTCTTCAAATGTATTTAGGGTGTTCTGCATATTGTGCATGTTGCATGAAAAAAAGCAGGTGTTGTTGTCGCAGGTGTGGCACAAGAGTCGAACATTTATGGGCCGTGACCTGCACGGTGATTCAAGCGGGCAAAAATATTATTGCAGTAATTAATGAATGACTTTCCTCTTCTAGTCTGACGGTATTTCCATAGTGATCTCATGTTTGTTTTCAAGGGACACTGACATCAGCTTGCAACAGACATTACACTGGAGCATCTGCCATAAAAATACACAAGCCATTTCTCAGCATAATGAAAAGTCGACTCATTGAAGCAATGAGGAAAAGCTATTAGAAATACATTTGTACCGTGTGAAACGATTTGTAGGAGCATGGTTGTAAACGCACAAACTCTTAACAATTAAAGAAGACAAATGATTCGAATAGTCTTTCAGCGGTAGCATTATGAATCACTTAACCCTATGAAGCCTACTGAATTGATACACAATTTTCTAAATGATCAAAACGTTGCCATTGTACGGACTGATTTTTTATAATACACTGCAATATTCCATAGAAATATGTTTTTTTCAGTTTTGATTTCAAGATGACTTTAAAGGATTAGTTCACTTTAAAAAAAACTTTTGCTGATAATTTACTCACCCCCATGTCATCCAAGATGTCCATGTCTTTCTTTCTTCAGTCGAAAAGAAATTAATGTTTTTGATGAAAACATTCCAGGATTTTCCTCCATATAATGGACTTTGCTGGGCACCAAACGGTTCAAGGTCTAAATGACCGTTTCAGTGCAGCTTCAAAGGGCTTTAAACGATACCAGACGATGAATAAGGGTCTTATCTAGCGAAACGATCTGTCATTTCAAAAATAAATAAAAAAGTTAAAGTTTTATAGGCACAAATGCTCGCCTTGCGAAATCTCCTGTTCGAACTCGTTCATCAAAATGAACGAGTCAATGACTCGAAAAAAGATTCGTTCATTTGGATGAACGAGGCAATGACTCGAAAAAAGATTCGTTCATTTTGATGAACGAGTTCGAACAGGAGAGTTCGCAAGGCGAGCATTTGTGCCTATAAAACTTTAACTTTTTTATTTATTTTTGAAATGACAGATCGTTTCGCTAGATAAGAACCTTATTCATCGTCTGGTATCGTTTAAAGCCCTTTGAAGCTGCACTGAAACGGTCATTTAGACCTTGAACCGTTTGGCTACCATTGAAGTCCATTATATGGAGGAAAATCCTGGAATGTATTCATCAAAAACATTAATTTCTTTTCGACTGAAGAAAGAAAGACATGGACATCTTGGATGACATGGGGGTGAGTAAATTATCAGCAAAAGTTTTTTAAAAAGTGAACTACTCCTTTAAAGTCAGCATAAAACTAACGTTGTGATAGTCTTCCCTATTGTGGCGTATCCGAGTGAAACGGCTTCTTGAACAAGAGAAGAAAATGTAGGGCGGAACCATTTTTTTACAGTCTATGGGCGGAACTTGATTTTGTCCATTGATTGGATGGTTGTAGTTTGCTATTGGTCGATCTCATGTGAGAGACAGGTTGCCCCGCCCACACGCCAGAAAACACATCATTGCAAGAGGGAGGCAAAGTTATTTTAAGTACAGATTATGAGGGCACATTAATAAAAAAAAAGGTTAATTTTGATTTCATGGTGACTTAAATCAGCATTGTCCCAATAACCGGTAACAAAAACTCACACTTGCATGAAAAAGCAACAGTGATTCATAAAGTTGTGTGGTCCTTTATGAGCACATACATAATGAACTGCTGTCTTTTTCTTTCAGCCATCATGTAACCGCTCTGACGCCGAGCTCATACAATAACATTAAACAAAACGGAGCGCAAAACAGGCATACGGTGACAGCGATCTCGTTCATCACTCAAGTGTGTTTAAATTTACTTTTCATTTCTTCAGGGAAAAGATTCATAAGTCACATTCAGATCTCCAGAGAAAATAAACCGGGCCGCGTGAGTCATCGCCTCTTTCACACTAGCATGAGGATTGTTTCCTGTGATTCCGACCTCTCCCTTCCTCCCATCCGTTCCTGCCTTCTTATCTGCTCCTCTCCAATAAGCCTCACTGTTGCTGTCAGAAGAACACTGAACTAGAGTAAAGGCTACACAGAAGAGCAGTGACTCAGATAGGAAAAAAAAAAAACATTAAGCAGAAGCAGAGATGATGGAGAGACGTTAAAATTCGCTGATGGCAAAGTGACGCTGTATTTACAGAATGCTTTATGGCTTTTTGGAAATCAGTGTTGTAGGCTGGCACTGCTCACAGATGTACTATGAGCTTGACATTAAATAAATGTGTCGTGTCTGCAGGGTACATTTGTTTAAATCTATAAGGTCTGAAATGGAACAGACTGGTCAGTCAGTATACTGACTGATATATTACATGTTCCTGAATGTGCAAGTGCATTGCAGACGGATGGTGTGCAGGCCGTCCACTAAAACTCCCATCGCACTGCCTTAAATGGGAATCGCATAGAAACAAGCCATGTTTTCTGTGTGGTTCTGATTAATACCAGATTCGACTGCACTGGCCCTCATCCAGTTCCCACCCAGGGACAAGCTGATTTCTTTTTCTTACACTGTCGAACACACATTAGGGTATGCCATGATCTGTTCCCCTATTTTAGACAGATCTTTCTCATTTTATAAATGCCTTTTCTCTGAGTCTTGACACAATGCCAGTTGGAACAACAGGACAAATAGTTCAAATGGGAGTTGGACCGCTATACACAAAGCACTTTGGTGCTATAAACCTTGCTGTGTGCAAGGCGAACTTTACAAATGAAGTCTTTTAGTTTGTAAAAGGTGACGTTACTGCTATACACACATCAGCATGATGGAAGGTGTGAGCATAAAAATGGCATTGCTTTGTATTGTATTTTGTGTAATAATAATGATTATAAGAAAAAGAAGAATAAGAGTTTGTTACATGGGATATTATTATTTATTAGATATAATAACATATTCAATTAATTAAATATATTCAAACTATATATTTAATTTTACAATTATCAAAAAAAAAAAAAACAGTTTTGCGTGATACATTTTTGTTTATCATGTAACATTGCAACACTTGACAAATATGTTCTCTGTAAAAGACAGACAATTATTTTTGAAAAAAAAAATACGGTCAATGATAATATTAATAATAGTTTTATCATATATTAATAAATAATCATATTTATTGTATATTCCCAATGTATAATATTAATAACAATAAATCATATTTTAATGAGGTTATCTCATTTTCTAGTTTTTTGTCTGATTTCCCCCAATAATTTTTTTTACACATTTGATATTTGCTCTTCTTCGATGTAGAAATGAATCTAAAAAACTAAAATTTTGCCAACTAATTTTTTATTAGATTTTCTACATTAAAACCCCCCACACAGGCTACTGTAAGAATGAGCAATGCAATAAGAATGTAGAAAAAAAGGTAAGATAATATACAATCTCAAAACCTTGTTTATTCTTTTTTTTGGTTGCAGTGAGTGAATCTGAGTATATTTCTGTGTGTGTTTGTGGATGTGTTTATGTGTACTTGCTGGTTGTTTTGATGAATATATTATTGTGAGACATCAGTGTGTGTGGAGGGTGTGTGTGTGTGTGTTGCTGTATATTCATTCATCTCACATCCACTGTGGCTGTTTCTCACTAAGACCAGAGAAAAATTGATTGACCGTTTATGGTCACTTTGAATAATATTTAATTAATTAACATTAATGTTCATAAAACATTAACATTAGAATTTTAATGTCTATATTTTAGCTTTGAAAGGCTTGTACAAATTCCACAACCTGACAACTAATTGACAAGGTTCCTGTTGATATTTTTCAAGACCTGATGTGGACATTAAACTTTTTTAAAAAAATGGCTGTGTTCTGCTACTCTGAAAGATCTTCAAAATAACTCTCAATATTATCACTTGATACTACTAAGTTTACAATAGGTGCAAGTTGATGAGGCTACCATGAACATAAATCTGTATATAAGGTGGTTAGCATTAGCAATGCCTGTCTTTTGAGTGTTAGGGGTCATATCTTCATTGTAATTGGTTGATCAAGGACCAATCAGTGACCAGGTATTCCTCATATATATATATATATATATATATATATATATATATATATATATATATATATATATATATATATATATATATATATATATATATATTAGTTTAACAAAAACATGTAATGTCCATTGCAATGACCGCAGGGTCTTAAGGTGTTAAAATAATAAATAATAAGCAAAATCATACATTTCATTATATGCTTGGCTTGCAGCATTTGACACTTTGGTACCGTACTACGTCATCAACATGAGCCACGAGTCTTGACATTCAGGAGCATGCGGAATGTTTTCATGAGTTTTTGACCTTTACATTACCTTTAATATACCTTTAAAGTGAATTCCGGTAAGTGTATTATGCACACCTTTATTTAACATACACAAAGAACAGCCTGTTGTTGTGTAATGGAAACTTGGCCTCGGTAAAACAGATGTGTGCAAACCGGTTAGCTTAGAGCTAACGTTAGCAGCTGATTATTTGACTGCAAGTGCGTTTAACGTGAATATTTACTACATTTCAGGGGACTGAAAGCCTCAAACGGCATGTCCGCGCGTCAAGCATCGGTCCATGCGAAATGGATCATTGGTCATGTAATCGGAACCAAGATGAAGAAGACGGCAAAGGTTCGAGTGACCAGACTTGTGCTCGATCCTTACCTGCTCAAGGTAAGATAATGTTGAATTGATTCTGATATTTTGCTATAAAATACACGTATCTAACAAAGTAAACCGCAGCACTTATTTTTAAAATAATGACGCATTATTTGAAAATAGTAACTCTTGGTTTGTAACCAAAAATGGCCTTTATGTATATTCGGTTTCTCCTTTCCAAGTATTACAACAAGAGGAAGACCTACTTCGCCCATGATGCTTTGGAGCAGTGCACAGTTGGGGATGTTGTTTTGTTGAAGGCCTTGCCGGAGAAGAGGTCCAAACATGTCAAACATGAACTGTCCGAGGTTGTGTATAAAGTTGGGCAGGTGGTGGACCCGCTCACTGGGAAGAGGGTCGCTGGGAAGCAGTATTTGGAGCCTCTTACGGAAAGCACAGAAGACGCAGGAGTATCTTTAACGGAAAAACTGGAGCAACTGAACATTACTGCTTCATCACCTCCTTCACCCTCGTAGCAGTTTCTCTCTTTGATGTATGCATGGCTTGATTTTCACATTAAATATTATTACAGTCACTGCCTATTATTTGCGTGGTCATTAACTTTACAAAAAGTGCTTCTACTTGCTGGGGTTTTTTTTTTACACAGACCGACAATTTTACGGTACAGTTCTGTACTATACTGTTATTATTATTATGATATTTTCATTGGGAAGTTAAATGTGCCAGCGCCCTCTAGTGGAAGTAAAGACCAGTAATACTTTCCACACTAGTTTTTTGTCATTTATGATGGGTCAGACCATGTTGTAATGTCCAAAAAATATAAGATTAATAATATTTTATACATTTGCATTAAGAAAAACGTGTTACCTTGCATACTCTATATATAGTGTATACATTGCATTTTTTTTTAATCAACTAAAATGTTTTCTATAATCCAGAAGACAAGTAACAGTTGTTTATTTAAAAGATAACTGATATATTAACATTAATACTGATATGACTTGCATAATTATTTGAAAACAATATAAGTCTTAGGATTTTAAAAAGATGATTTCTATTCATTTCGTTATACATTTAGACATAAAAGATATTTAAATTACCATATTCATTTATACACTGTCAGTTATAGGGAGATTTATGACACAGTCTATTCAAATATATACCAAGATAGGAAAAAAGCCAACAATCAACCTTAAAGCTGTGCACTTTTTACAGTATGTTGTCATATTCTTACCACGTCTACCTGAATGTCTACATTATTTTACTTCCATGATATGATGTTGCATGTCTGGTGTTTCTGAGTGTATCTCACTGTGCCGACTCCACTGTCCTCTGAATATGAGACACTTCCAGCACTGGCATGAGGAGCTGGAACGCGTCCTGGATATATGATGCACTGTTTGATGCCTTAAAATGGAAAATAAAGTGAAAGAAGATTTTAATACCCCTGTGCAAACATGAAAATATCAACATGCAAGACTTACATCTGTAAATGTCTTTTTTATTATTATTTAGGTTTATGTGAATATGCATGACCATCTTTAAAGGCAGGGTAGGTGATTTGTTAAAGAACCATTTTTTGTTATGGTTGAAAGTCTCTTCACATCCTGACAGCAATCACTAAGTTAATTGGTCTAAATGTATTTATATGTATATATCGTCTGTGGAAGGCCTAGGAGCATAAACTGTTCATCCAATCATTGAATTCGGTCCGAATGCAATGATACGATGTCCTACCTGCCTCTCAATGTGTATTTCCATACCTCGGCGCACCTGCTCGTGCAGACATCACATGTCATCAGCGCGTTTCATGCTATGCAGAGTTAGACAGATTTCTAACAGACGTATACAGTTCCTCCTGAGCCGAAACAACGAGCTTATGGAGATGGAAACCCATGACGTTATACTCAGAGCGGTTTGTGACTTGAATTTATGAGTTTCAATGGCAACTTGTTGAAAAAAAACAAGTTGTTTGTACGTTATTATTGTAATGTTATGTGTTTTGAGACAGGAGGTAGTTTCTCCTGATGTTTTTGCTTGCTCCCTGCTGTATCCATTCATGTGTTTTGAAGAAGGCGTGGTTTTGGAGACGCTCTGAAGGCAGGGTGGGATCTCATGCTTTCAAAGCTAACTTGCTATTGCTAGCCTCTCTGAAAATGACCTACCCTACCTTTAACATGATGACAAGACAAAGACAAAACGGGGCAGACAGAGACAAACCTCCAGAAAAACGCTGGTAATCAGTGGATTGAGAACTTCTCCTTTTTCATTTGCCTGAAAAACAAACATTTCGACATGAAATTCGAATATATATTGGGAATATCACAATAAATATATAATAAAATAGGATATGATAAATTTTTTTTTTTTTACAGTATTTATGCTTTTTTTCCTTTGAAACTCTACTAATATTATTATAATGATCATAAACAATATTATAGATCTCCAGACTGCACTATGAGAAGTGAAGCGTCTTACCCCAATGGTAGTCAAGCACGACGTGTACTTTTTGGATAGTAGTGATACCTCCTTACAAATAACAATAGTAACTCTGAAAGTGAAAGACATTATGATTTGAATTTCTCCAAATGCCAATTTTGCACAATTATTTTGCAACAAGATAACTCACTGTGATAAGACTTTGGCTTGTTCGGCGGCCGTCGCCTCCTCAGTGTTACAGTGAAGCAGCATTTCAGCTGTTTTCTGGAACTGCTCTATGGATCTGGCTGTGAACTCGGCCAGACTTGTAATGGCAAACAAATGGGCCTCCTATGAAAAAGAGTAACTTGAATTGTCAAAACACAGATACATTACTCTATGAAAGATATGTATGCATATCTTAAAAGACATTTAGTTCATTTTAGGCCTCATAACAAAAGTTGAAGACCTCAACGCTGTATTTTGTCACTGGCGTTTCCTGTTCTTTCTCCTCTTCTTCTTCTTCTTGCTGTGTGCTTTCACTTTGTAGCTTCATGTTTGTTATATGGTTGAATGCGTTTTTTCTGGCCTGAGTGGATATGAGTAATAGTAAATAATCGGACACACAAAATACATGAAGATTACAATTACGAAGAGATGCTCAGGTAATACCTTGCTTAGTTTGTCAGCTGATGTGGAGATCTGTAATCTTTCAAGAACATCTGTCAGTTCCTTCACAAAATCCTCTCCATCATCACCTGAGGATAAAAATGAAGATTTATTTTCTTTATGTGCACAACAAAAATGTGTTGTTTATTTACTGAATCCGAAATGTTAAAGGGGTCCAATTATGCATGCATATATATATATATATATATACACACACACATGTATATTATTTTCAGCTTTCTTTAGTGTGTAATGTTGCTGTTTGAGCATGGTTTTCATGTTTTCTTCTGGGAATGCACACATCGCAATATTTCTCACTTTAATAATTCCCTCTCAAGGCATACGAAAAATAAAGGGACAAGGCAAGGTTGCGGTTATGTTAATGGGGGTGAGATTTCTGAACCATGTTTGAAGCGTTTGACCAATTGGAACACACTGGTCCAGCCGACCAATCAAGAGTACATTGCGCTTTTCTAAAGGAAGGGATTTATAGAGACAGGAACTAAACAGAGTGTTCCTGACAGACTGGGAAGAGAGGTTTTGCATGAAAACCTATTCTAGTAGACTCCAAAAACAAAATCAAGATTTTGAAAAAGGGCATAATAGGCCCCTTTTAATATATTATATTTTTTACTTTAACTTTGTATCGGTTGTACTTTTTACCTTTCATGTCATCCTCCACCTCATCATCAAACTCCATGAGGGAAAAAGGCTCTTTAATGTCTTGTAGTTCCTCTCTCAGTTTAGCTAACTCTTCACCGGACAGAGTGGTCAGCACAGATTTCACCTGCGCAGAAACACCACACCAGCATTCAAATCCTTCACCATTTTATATTCTATCATTAGTTGAATTTGTAAAAAAAAAAAAATTCTATTGACCTTAGCTTCACTCTCTCTAGAGAGGATCTCCAAAGCCTCCAGATGGGACAGGCCTTGAAACTCATCAAACAACATCCCATAATGAGCCTTTTTGTCTGTTTCCGAAGAAACGTTTTCAGCTTTCTGCTGCTGCTCACGTTCCTTTGCTTCCCTTAGGACCTTTGAGAGATGAACAAATGAATCAGGTCAGTTTCATTCACAAGCAAAACTATATTGTATAAGTATAAGGTCATATATTTATGCAGGGAGTTGAAGTTGCTATGAATATATTCCATCGGATTGGGCCAGACAGTCATCATAGCTTCTGCACCTGTGACAGTGTGGAGTTTCTGTTCATCAGTCCCTTGGTTTTCTTAAAGCCGGGGTCTCCCTCTGCTATCACATCCATGGTCTTCTTCCCAATAAACTCCAATGCATCCAAACCACCACTTATTACGGTTTTACCCTAGCCAACAAGCATAAGAAGACAATCAAATAAAATATACAACATTTGCATTTAAATAAATCATGCTTAAAATATTTTTCTTTATTTATATTTATTTATACAATAATCATAATTAATACAAATAATAAATGCTGGACGCTGCTTTTACTTCACTTTCCAGTATATCTTTTTCTTTGTTTTGTAATGAAATTCATAAGTAAGCACAATTTAACTTGTTTATAATTTTAATTTGTATACATTTTTATTTTCACTTAAGCATAAGATCAGGGGCCTGTACCATGAAGGTAGCTGAACAAACTCGGAGTTACAGGATTAGTTTTGAGTTGACAAAACCAAACCGATGCAATCAGGCTTTATTGGTACCATGACGCAGCTCATCAACTTTCTCTGTCAACTCAGGCTTTGATCTTAAGCTATGATTACTCCACGAGCGCGTGCACATACCAAAGTGACGTTGGCACCGAACAACCAATCGCGTTCGATATGGATAGAGCGAGAGCTATATATTCTTTCCGCGGAGGAGCAAGAGATAATCATTCAGAATTACGATGAATTTAAATATGTATTACAAGCTCGAAACAATACGGTCTCTGCTGCCAAAGCAAGAGAAGACTGTTGGAGAAAGATTGCTGATTGTGTTAATGTGTAAGCTAAATAAATACGTTCTTTATTCATGTAAAATGATGTATATATAGGCTATGAATGTATGTGTGTGTGTGTGTGTGTGTGTGTGTGTGTGTGTGTGTGTGTGTGTGTGTGTGTGTGTGTGTGTGTGTGTGTGTGTGTGTGTGTGTGAAATATAGCCTATATTTTTATAATATATAAAAAAATGTGCATGTATATACTAATAAAGATTAATATTCATTGATTTTTAGATGCAACTCCAAACATTCTTGGCAGCTGATAAAGACAAAATATAAAAATATAATTCAAAGTAGCCTAGTAAGTATTTACACACAGCCTTTTATTATTTTTTTATTAACACTTGTTTGAGGCAAACGGAAAAAAAGAGTGAAATTCAGAAAACCAGTGGAGGGCCACTCCTCCAGAATACACTGAGTTGGCTCTGATAGGAATAAGGGACGGCCGATTATGGATGGGATTACAGGTGCTGTACAATCGTCTGCAAGTAACACTGGGTACGTGTACATTACTATTTTAAGTTTTAAATATGGCTGACTGTATGTTCTGCAGTAGAGGGAAATGCAGTGTCCCTTGAAGCCAGCACACACACACAGTCTCCCACACAGAGGTCAGTATGCAGCAGACAGAACACCAGAAACATATTGGCCTACTTTTATTTATCAGGGAGGAGGAAATGATGAAGACACTCTGTGTTCTGGGACAGTTGCTGAGGTGAATGCACTGGGCTTTTTATTAAGGCAAACATTTGAATGTGTGGCATAAAACAGGGACTGGCCCAAGTTACACATCTCTTTTATTGTAGGATTTTTCACAACCTGTCCCAGAAACTGAAGCCTCTACCTCAACAGGCTTCAAAAGAAATGTGAACAAGGTAAGGATTTAAAACCCTTGACATATATAACAGGTGTTTGTCAAGGAACTTTCAAGGAACTTTTTGTGAGTTGATTAGCCTCCCAAAAACTTGTAATGATCATGTTTGTGGTGGAATTATGTTTCAGGTGGAAACAGACTCAGTCAGGGCCCTTTACAAAAGGAGCCTATAGAGCTAGACTGCACACTAAAGGAGCCTATGGAGCTAGATTGCACACTAAAGGAGCCTATAGAGCTAGACTGCACACTAAAGGAGCCTATAGAGCCAGACTGCACACTAAAGGAGCCTATGGAGCTAGACTGCACACTAAAGGAGCCTATAGAGCCAGACTGCACACTAAAGGAGCCTATGGAGCTAGACTGCACACTAAAGGAGCCTATGGAGCTAGACTGCACACTAAGGGAGCCTATGGAGCTAGACTGCACACTAAAGGAGCCTATAGAGCTAGACTGCACACTAAAGGAGCCTATGGAGCTAGACTGCACACTAAAGGAGCCTATGGAGCTAGACTGCACACTAAGGGAGCCTATGGAGCTAGACTGCACACTAAAGGAGCCTATGGAGCTAGACTGCACACTAAAGGAGCCTATGGAGCTAGACTGCACACTAAAGGAGCCTATAGAGCTAGACTGCACACTAAAGGAGCCTATGGAGCTAGACTGCACACTAAGGGAGCCTATGGAGCTAGACTGCACACTAAAGGAGCCTATGGAGCTAGACTGCACACTAAAGGAGCCTATGGAGCTAGACTGCACACTAAGGGAGCCTATAGAGCTAGACTGCACACTAAAGGAGCCTATAGAGCTAGACTGCACACTAAAGGAGCCTATAGAGCTAGACTGCACACTAAAGGAGCCTATAGAGCTAGACTGCACACTAAGGGAGCCTATAGAGCTAGACTGCACACTAAAGGAGCCTATAGAGCTAGACTGCACACTAAAGGAGCCTATGGAGCTAGACTGCACACTAAAGGAGCCTATGGAGCTAGACTGCACACTAAAGGAGCCTATGGAGCTAGACTGCACACTAAAGGAGCCTATGGAGCTAGACTGCACACTAAGGGAGCCTATAGAGCTAGACTGCACACTAAAGAAGCCTATAGAGCTAGACTGCACACTAAAGGAGCCTATGGAGCTAGACTGCACACTAAAGGAGCCTATGGAGCTAGACTGCACACTAAGGGAGCCTATAGAGCTAGACTGCACACTAAAGAAGCCTATGGAGCTAGACTGCACACTAAGGGAGCCTATAGAGCTAGACTGCACACTAAAGAAGCCTATAGAGCTAGACTGCACACTAAAGGAGCCTATGGAGCTAGACTGCACACTAAAGGAGCCTATAGAGCTAGACTGCACACTAAAGAAGCCTATAGAGCTAGACTGCACACTAAAGGAGCCTATAGAGCTAGACTGCACACTAAAGGAGCCTATGGAGCTAGACTGCACACTAAAGGAGCCTATAGAGCTAGACTGCACACTAAAGGAGCCTATAGAGCTAGACTGCACACTAAAGAAGCCTATAGAGCTAGACTGCACACTAAAGAAGCCTATAGAGCTAGACTGCACACTAAAGGAGCCTGACTGTGAGCTGAGGAGGCTCCACATTTAAAAAATATATGTAACAGCTAGATTAAACTGATCTCAGCATGTGAACTTATTTAACCAAGTAACACTTTAGCATGAATATTTATTAATGCAACTTTCTATTGCTTTCTTTCTCCCCCCCATCCCACAAAACCAATAAAACAGTTTGAGACCTATCTGCAGTTTCAATGTGCTTTTATTAAGTGTAATATTGTATGGTGATTGCAACTACATTTGCACCAGCTGGGTGCTCAAGTGTGTTCGGGTCAGTTTCATCGGGGAGAAGCTTTCTGTGGTGTTCTGGCTCCTTTCTATGGTGGCTATATTGTGCAGAATGGCACATGCAGACACTATCTGTGATGCCCACTCTGGTGACTCTTAAGCGCCGAAGACAGTTGAAATGTGCCTTTAGGATGCCAAAGATCATCTCTAACTTTTACTATGGTTTTACTGACACATGAGGGTCATGATAGGGGGTTATTGTGTAGGTTTTGCTGTCCCAATTCAAATTAACAGTGTTTTGTACTGTACCAAATTTAAATAGCTTTCCTCAAAGCGCTGACACAACATACTCACGGAAAGTAGATTGTTATCTGTTAATTTTACTATTAATTTAAAGATTCATCTCACAGAAAATAATAATTTCACATGTTCACATAATCTCTACCTGAACATAAGGCTGTGAAAAGACTTTCTATTAACATAATCTGCCTGATGTTCTCCTAGAGAAGTGGAGATTGCAACATGTGTGCAGGCTATTGCTCCAATGACTATAGGGAATCCTATCATAAGATTAACCGAATAAAAAAAAAAAAAAAGATTTAAAATAATGCTTAACATGTACTGTATTGTATAGTACATTTGTGAAATTTGTGAAAAACGTGATGTCACCCTGTCAATATATCTTACCGGCAATTTTATAAAAACCCTCTCTTATATGGACATGGTCAATAAATGTCTGGGGAACACTATTAAACTATTAATGTACTCCTGCAGAGCGAGGACCACCTTGCGAATGGTTCGACAAACCGTGTTTTCCCCTAGATTCTGTGCATCACCGATCGTGCAAGTATGTAGGCTACCACTTGCAAAAAAAAAAACGAATGAATTCGACGTGTTAAATTATTTATGTGCGGCTCAAGAAGTTCGCAAAGATAAGATATTCCTTCCGCGAAAATCTGTATCTTTCATACAAGTAACTATCAGGAAAGGCAAGGGGATTTTGTCCAGCTAAAAACTCTTTCTCTACGATGTGCTCGTCTAACAACTTGCGCTGAGATGTCCACAGGATTTGAAAGAAAATGTAAAGCCATTGCAACAAACACTATATGTTTCTTTGCTCACAGCTGATTGGTCAAACTTCAGTCTGAGATCTCAAATCCAGAACATAACCTGCCCCGGAGCAGGTTAGCCGTGCAGCGTAAGATACCATGGCAACGAACACCGATTAAAGCAGAGCTACTTTCATAGTACCTAAAACCCAGGGTTGGCGGAAACTAAGCTGAAACATAGCTGGCTAGCCACCTAAACCGGCTTCATGGTATAGGCCCCAGGAGAAACAGATTTTGTGTATATATTTACAATAGAATAAAAACAAATAGTCTATGACAATATTTATAGGCCCCTGGCCCAAGTTTTATATTCAGAAATTTTAATATATGGGACACCTAGTTTCTGTAAATTACATAATAATAATAATAATAAATAATTATTAATTATACATTTATTAAAAGTCATGATTTTATTTTACTGGCTAGGGCTTAAGGATAATGATCTTTTACAAATATTTTAAAATCGATTTCTACTGATAAAATATTTTAGAACTTGAAATTACGTTTAAAATGTATATTAATTTTAAAAATGCTCATGACTTTTCCAGGTCTAGAAATCATACTTAGGCTTCCTCATATATCCAGGTTCTTCAAAGGAAAACAGTTGTTGAGAGGCTAAATTGTTAAGAAATATCTTGATTTTCAGATGTTTTATCTGATTTAGGAGTCATATGATGCGTTTTAATGTCATTCATAATTGTGTAATGTAGCTGTTTGTGCATGTATAAGATCTACAAAGTTACAAACTCATAATCTCCCACAAAAGCCATTTATTCTATCTAACAGAGAACACTGATCCAAACCTGCCTAAAATGCCTCGATCTAAGTCCAGATATTACTTCCTTAAAAGTCTACGTCACAATATAAATATTAGTATAATGCCCGCCCATAGGCCTACGCAAATAAAGAAGACAAGGCTTTAGTGAATTGTACAGTACGTGAAAAATAATGTGTTTTTGAACATTAAACCATGTTAACCTATTCTATTACAGCCAATTAACAAAATAAGACTCATTTAAAGCTTGTTTTGTCTTATTTTAAATTATTTTCTTGAGGCTCTCTTGTAAGTTTGCTGAGTTGAGAACCACTCCCAAAAAAAGTGTCATTCCATAATATAAAATAAATTTAAAAAATCAAAGGTATCATTCAACAACAAAAAATATGAAAAAATTTAAATAAATATAGATACTCAAAATAAACTGAGTTTTAACATTATCTAGCATACATTTAGCTTGCTCTTACCGTACTCTGAACTACAGTGGTTAAAGATGACAGCATTCCCATACTACTAGAGGAGATCATTCCCATAGCACCACCCATCCCATACGCCTTCTCCCCTTCATCTTTATTCGTCTCACAACTGTCTGAACCTGCAGAAAGAAGGCAGAAAGATCATAAACACATATGTAAACACACATATACCAATTCACATGTCAAATGAAAAGCACATCATTACCATCAGTTTTTTCCTCCTCCGCTTGAGCTGAAAGCTCCTCAGGACTTGGGATTCCAAGAGACGTCTCTGCTTTCTCAATGACCTGTGTCAAACCTTGGCCTTAGACAATGAAACAACAGTATTAGTGTTGATGATATATAAACTAAGCTGTTTTTTGTATTAGAGTGAAAATCTTGTGCCATTTACCCACAGTAGCTACAGTGGCAGTAGCAGTGGAGAGGATCGATTTACCCCAGCTGCCCCAGTAACCCCAACCTCCCTGGGAAACAGTCGTCTCTGTGGAGGCCTGATGGGGGAAAAAGTGGCAGTTTAGTTATAGATCAGTTTAGAACAGTTTTTGGACATGATTAGAAAAGGCAAAGCTTGGCTAAGTTGTCTGATTCATCACAACAGACTGGGCCAGCTGACCAATCAGAGCAGATTGGGCTTTTCGGAAAGGCGGCTTTAAAAAGACAGGAACTAAAACAGAGCATTTCAGGCAAAGAGTGAAAAGAGGTGCTGCCACAATGCACAATATGAGAATGTTTTTTTAAACTTTAAATAATGTAAATGTATTCTAGCCCCAGAAATGAAATTATGAACTTGTAAACGAGTATACACTTGGGTGGGAATCACATTTTAATCAAATAAAACAAATTCATATCCTTGTGATCTATAGAAAATGAATGGGAAAATACAGATACATTTTCTGGGATACAATCTATGTTGTACAAAATTGTGTGTATATATATATATATATATATATATATATATATATATATATATGCAATAATGCAATATGCATGGAAGGCAGATCTGGTGGGTTGCTGGTGTGTGTGTGTGTGTGTGTATATATATATATATAAAATTATTATTATTAATAATAATATAAGTAAAAGTGTGATAGAGGCCTACATTTGGAGCACTTTCTGCTGATTGCGGTGTCTCTGGGTTCTTCTGTTCTTCTGCTGGAGGTTTAAGTTCTGGTCTTTTCCTCGTCTTTCGGGTTGGTGTTACATCAGTAGAGCTGTCACCCTGAGCATCAGCGGAGGGCTCATCTCGGGGGGCTGATGACGGCTCTTTGGGCTCTTGATCCATTGATTTCTCTGTTCGGTCACTTGTGGAGCTTTCGCTGTCAGACATCTTAACACATTCCAGCCTCCTGAAATGGACAAAGAAACAGTTCACATCTCACTTTTAATGCAAAGAATAGCTATATGATATATAATTGTGTACATGACAGTGTGGTTTATGGAATTGAAAACCAACACATTTTAAACTGCCTTTAAAACAGCTCAACGTGTCATACATCACAAATTGCTGATGTTGAAGACTAAGATGATACTGCATAAAATAATATTCAAGACACAGATTATAGACATTAGTGAACTTCTAGAGATGAGTTGATCATGAATAGGCGGTATAATTGATGCTGGAGTACATACTTGCAAAATAAAGCACATTATATCTGTCTGTCACAGTGGAATACTGTACTGTACTGTTTTGTATGGTATTTAAACAAGCTAAGCTAACTTTCACCAGCAATAGTTAGTCAACATCCAGTAAGCTGGACGCTATACAAGTAATTATAGGGAAGAAGTTATTATTAAAATAAATAAGGGATATAAGTATAACATACCCAACCTATTGATGCCTGTTTCTCTTCGGTCCGGCCACGTCACTGGACTTAGTCCTCTGCTGTGTTTTGTTTTTCCCGTTACACTCTCTCTCTTCCATTGAGGAATGAAAACATCGACTCAACACACTATTCCGCCACCTGCTGTTCGGAGGACGTTCTTCCAATCCTAACAGAACAACCGCAGATAGTTTACCCAAAATTGTTAAAAAATATTGTCATTATTTACTGACCCTCACGTTGTTCCAAACCTGTATGAGTTTCTTTCTTCTGTTGAACACAAAAGAAAATATTTTAAAGAATATAACCAAACAGTTTTTTATGGAACTTATTAGGGAAAAAAATACTGTGAAAATCATTGCTGTCAACTGTTTGATTAGCAACATTCTTCAAAATATCATATTTTGTGTTCGACAGAAGAAAGAAACTCATACAGGTTTGGAACAACATGAGGGTGAGTAAATGATCAAAACATTTTCATTTTTGGGTGAACTATCCCTATCCCTTTCAATTGAATTAAAGACTGTATATTTTACAGTCTAACTGTGTCCCATAAATTTAACAACCTGATATATTATTCATCGCCACAATAATAGCCACAGTGCATCAAAATTGGCTCAGTTAATTTTCAACTGTGTATTTTTTATTTGTGCACAGGTTTTTACTGTGTGAGTTACCTTTCAATTTTATAAACTTATATAGCCAATATAATCACAATGAACACATCCAAAATAAAATATTTAACATATAACAACTGCAAAGCCTCTAATTCGTAAACAAAACGATTTACGCACTAAATCAAGCATAAACTCTCTAAAGATTGTATTATTTGACGGCTCTGAGATTACAGTTAACTTCAAAACCCACCTCAAAAACTACACGCCCCAGAAACCCACCTCCAATCTGATTGGCTGGCGTCAGACCATTGTGTGTTTTTGGCTTCTGTGATTGGTGCACTGCTGTGGTCGTCGACGAGTCTCTCGATGTTCTCACGCACAACATCAGAAACGAAATGGCTGAAGAAAATGTTGAGCAAACTTCTGGAATTTTTCAGGAAATTTTCACTTCGCCCCTGAACATTAGCTTGCTATGTCTTTGCTTGTTCCTTCTGTACAAAATCGTCCGTGGAGACAAGCCTGCAGATTTTGGCCCGGTTGAGGAGCCGTTGCCTAAACTAAAGAAAAGAGATTTGACTTTAGCAGAACTGCAAGAGTACGATGGACTGAAAAACCCAAGAATCCTCATGGCTATCAGCGGGAAAGTGTTTGATGTTACGAGAGGGAAGAAGTTCTACGGACCAGGTATGGCACAAAGTCAATCGCAGGTCTTAGCGCAAACTTATCTTAGGTGATTTTGTGCGATAATAATTACGTGGTTCTTGAATTATGTTTGCATAGGCGAGTTTTTTATTTTAAACATGACCTATTAAAAACGCATGAATTTAATTTCAGACACGCCCCTTTGTCGCACTTTTTAAACGAGTACAAATGCAAAGTCATAACCCCTAACCTACTGAAAATTCAGGATAATAGTGATGACACGCAACCTTGTTAAAGTGTTGCTATGTTTACGTTGTTGTTCTTTTGATAATGAGACGACTGCAGTATTTTTTTAACCTTTTGCAATGCCAAAAACTGTTGCTTATCTGTGAATAATTAACTAAACTCGGATAAAGGTTGACTAGATACTTCAGATGTCCACTGAGCACCAGAATGTTAATTTAAAGGGATGGTTCACACAAAATTTCAAATGTTGTCATAATTTACACAATTCAGCTACTTTTCCAAACCTAAATTAGTTTCTTTCTTCTGTTGAACACATAAGAAGATATTTTAAATAATGCTGATAATCAAACAGTTGACGGCACCCATTGACTTCCATAGTAGGAAAAAATATATATAATGGAAGTCAATGGGGTCCATCATCCGTCGCTCTCAACAATGTCTTGTTACCAACATCCTTCAAAATCTACACATGTTTGGAGCAACATGACATAATTTAAATTTTTGGGTGAACTATCCCTTTAAGATAATAGATACTACTTATTTTGCATTCTGAGATGAAGAACATATTTGTGAAGAGATAATTTGTTGACTTTTAGAGGGCCCTTACGGGGTCTTTGCGGGCAGGGATGCATCCAGAGGACTGGCCACGTTCTGTTTGGAGAAGGAGGCCTTGAAAGAAACTCATGATGATCTTTCAGATCTCAATGCTATGCAGCAGGAGAGCCTGAGCGAGTGGGAGACCCAGTTCACACGTGAGTTGAAGGACACTTTTGGATCCTCCCCCTGATTTTACAGTTGTGCTCTTCAGGGATGTTGCAATGAGCTTGCATTGCTAATCGTTGAGTAAACGCTCTTATGTTCCTCCGCAGAGAAATATGATTACGTTGGGAAGCTTCTTAAACCTGGAGAAGAACCGACAGAGTACACGGATGATGAGGAAGTCAAGGACAAAAAGACGGATTAGAACATGGAGAACACGGATCCAAAGCTAGCTCTTCCATCTGTGCTTAAATGACCTAGATTTGTTGCACTTGCCTTTTTGTCTGAACCTCCATGTAATTTAACGTGACGTTAATGAGCACGTCATACGTTTATAAATAATTTCATATCACTGTATTCTTAAAACTAATGTAGCATATGTTATATCTACAGCAACTGTGACTCATAATTATGTCATTTGAAGAATTCTTGGGTAAATACATTCTTTGGGAATATATGGCTTTCTGTAAATATGGGACGATTCCTCACTCATCTTATTTGGATTGCCGACTCTAGATTTTTATCTAACCAGAGAACATTTAACCCAAATGCATATAAAAACATCAAAACGCTCTAGAATACTTTTAAATGAGCATTCTACTAAAAAGTCGGAGTGGAAATCTCCTCAAGTTTACTTGATACAGATTAAGACTAAAGAGGGGTTTCAAGCGAACTCATCATCACATGCTAGTCTTATCATCTGCTCAAGAAATCTGTAGATTAGATACATGCAACATTCCATGAGATTTTATGTTTTACGAAAACAAGTATTTGCAAAACATCTTTTCTGTTCATAATGTTCATTATTAAAGAAAATGATTTATTACCATTGTGCATTGCTGTATTTTTTTTTCTCTATGTTGGTTCAAAGTGTATGTGAAAGTTGCTGATTACTGGCGAAATATTCCCCATATGTGTCGTTGAGCAAACTGCTGAACTGTCCCAGTACGAGTTAACTCTAAAACCTACAGTATCTTATTTGAGACAGGAATATCTATGGCCTCTACAGTAAATTATCAACATAATCAACACTGCTGAAAAACCTGTTGCACACAATCTTTCACATGCCTTCTGTCATCTGATTGATACTTTTTTTGCACCAAGTTAAAGGCCTTTTAGTATAATTAGGTTTTTTTTTTTTGCAGTGAAAACTACTGATTTTTTTATGATAAAAAATGTAATAACTTTTTTTGTTAGTAATGTTTCAAAATGATCTGGACTGAAGCAACTTTAGATTTGCTTGACTATCCATACATTTGTTTTTTTTTAAGAAAAGTCATGTTAAAAATAAAGTCAAATTAGACAGCAGAATTTTGAGGAACGTTTATTAGTTCGTCTCTCAATCATCATTGTATTGCACTGCATTATGTGTTTTGCCCACATAATTAAAACTACAGACCTTGGTATGAAAGATGACAAGAATAAATGACAAATGTATTTGAAACAAAAAAGCTTGTTGAATTGCACTACTTGGAGAAAAAAAAATGCATTGTATAAACGTCCTTGCATTTTAATGCATTTTATTTTTAGGGCTTCATTTTTATGGGCTGAAATTCAACATGGTTGTATATTTAGGCTGTGAATATTTCAGTTCAAAACTTTGCATTTTCATTATTAAAAATTCAATAATCCACATTCACCTATACATACACAATTTTTATTTTTTTCAAAATGAGGTGTGGGTACAGGAGAGACGTATCCCTCTAATTTTGGGAGTATGTAAAATTGTCACACAATCTTATAAAATAAAAAATGGTTACATGATAGGCTTATTTCTTACATTTAAGATATCAGATAACATAACAATATTAATATTTGTAGCTCGAGCATAAAAGTATGTGTCAGAAGTGGGATTCGAACCCACGCCTCCATTCGGAGACCAGAATACCCGTTTGTTCGGAAGGGAGCAACCCTTGAGTCTGGCGCCTTAGACCACTCGGCCATCCTGACACGACTGTGAACTAAATTTTAAATCCCAATCTTATATGTGCGCTTTGCATTTATGCAATCAGAAATTCTACAAGCTCAATGCAAAGGTAACGCTGCACAACCTGCTAACTGTTTAACTAACTTTAACAGTGTATGGTAAAACAGCAGTGATGGTCCCTTATTATATTCAGAAAAAATATATAAATATTCAACTTATATATGCTTAGAATAACTCCGTATACGTTACAAACAAATCACATCACTTTAAACTACCAGAGTTTACTTTAGTTTAACATTTACATGTTGAATCTAACCCATACTGTCTTGCGATCACCGCGCATACATGCGCGCAAGTATCGCGCGTTCATCACTTCCGCTCTGCCATTTTGTTTCTGCCATTCAGTTCAAGGGTATTAGCTCGCGCAGTCAGTTGTCCCGAGAAATAACCATGTATCGCTTCGCCAAGATTGCCCTGAACCTCAGCGGTAAGTTATATATCTCATTCGAGGACTGGCCGTTTTATTTCACATTTCAGTAAACAGCATTTGTTGCAATGTTTGGGCAGTATACTGATGTTGCTTCCCAGTGTGCTAAAGCTAGTTTTGATGGGATACATTCATAGGTGCCAGTCAGTTTATACGTTTTTGTAAATAATTGAATCTATTGTCACCTTATCTTAAAAATATATGTTTATATTTTCATGTATTTGCCATATGTGGGTTTAAAAAATATCTCTCTTATTGATAATCTCAAAATATTGTTGTAAATATTAACTTGCTCGCGCTGATTGCAATGGTGTGCTTTTCCATTCCAAAATGTTTCTAACAAACTGCAATGTGCCCACGAAGTGGTTTTCCTATTAGCTACAAGCTTGCACTCATTGTAGGCTATATGATTGCAAAAAGGTCAATGTTTTTTATGAGAATTTTCTTTTCTTTTTAATAAACTCAGCGACTCTTAATGTGTGTTAAAGGATGTTTAAACCTAAATCTACTCTTCCCCCCTTTTCTTTATATTAGGTCAAAGTGCCCGTCAGGTGGCTGTGCGACAAAAGTCTGGTCTGTCCCCTGAATTTCATGCCAAGTATGGAGCTCCTCTGATGATTTCTGGAATTGCATTTTGCACAGCTGTTTGGGCATATGTAAGTGACTGCAAACTCTTCTAATTACATATCTTTTTCAATGTGCTATATGTGATTTTGTGCGGTGTCTTTGCAGGTGATCACATCAACAGGCATCACATGGAACCTGTCACCTGTAGGCAAGGTGCAGCCCAAGCCATGGAAGGAGTGATGAATGCATTTCCCGTCGTGGACCGAATACTCTGGGATTCTGAATGACATTCTGAACTTTTCCGTTTTGCAAATGGAGACAATTTTCACCTAATCCAATCTTCTTGCTGTCTTGGCATGTCTGTAAAAAATGTAATAAATTAAAATATAAATCTCAATACTTGTCTTATTACTTTATCTGCGGTATTAAAGGGTTTATGTCAGATTTGAGCTTCTAATTTTAACTTTGTATTTAGCATAAAACTCTAAGATGTCCAATTACAGGTCTGAAATTTAAGATATAAGTTATTTTTAATGTGTAATAAGTTTTACTAAATTACAAAACCTTTTTTTTAACGCACTGACCAGTTTTACGATTTTGGGGTTATTTTGCTTCCACAACTTGTCGTCTTCAAGACTAGTGAAAAGACAGCATCTAAAACAAATATTTAAGTGTTTATTTTCTTACCACTTTATCTATTTGAATCTGTAAATTTCAATATGTATCTTTATAGGTCTTTTTTTTCCCCGGTGCACTGAGCCAGAAATTTCCACTTATACACTAAATGTTACAGTTTTATTCCTATATGTTCTGAAGGGGTTTGCAGAGGGATTTGGTCATATCATTTGCCTGATCTATATAACATTTTATTCCTAAAAAACATTAAACATTTTCCCCTGGAAGTTTACAATATTTTATGAGTTATAAAAAGAGATATCTAAAATCCCCATTGTAGGAAAAATTTTTTCAACAAAATGAAATTTGTACCTGGCTTTATCCAATGATCAGATTTATGTTCTGAAAATATATGCCAATTAGTGTATTTTTAATTAGATACCTTATTAACTTAAACAACATTTCAGAAAACTTGTAATAGAAAACAATTGAACTGAAGGATGGTGATATCTATTTGTTAGAATTTTTTAACCCTATTTCACCCTATTCAACTGTGGTGTCTTGTCTTAGTTCAAGAGGGTAGGGTCTCTAGATAGGGGGCAGCATCATTGCAACACGTTGGTCCAACATCCTATGTGCTCAGTTGGTGATTGATTGACAGCAAGTGTATCCAATGAGCGCTGGGTTTAGAAGCGCACACCTCGATTAGACCCGCCCACACTGTGTGCATCAGCATCAAGCTAAGGTCACTCAGTCTCACTCGGGAACTGAACCAGCACTGCACCACACCAGCTAAAGAGAGTTTTTCTGCAAATCTACAGCCAGAATGTCTCTGTCAAACAAACTCAATTTGGACAAGGTGGATGTGAAAGGAAAGCGCGTCATTATGAGGTAAGCGTGAATTGTCACCGGCACATTCCGTTATATCGTTCATTAACGATGTATTAAGATCGTGATCTCCATTTATTGGCTATATGCTTTCTTGTTTTTTAACTTTAATTTTAAGCTTTGATTTTTGGCAAGGTTATGCGATTGAAACTTCAATCATTGATAACCGGAAGTGTATCTGTCACGCGTCACGTTTTATACATTCCCGATACGTGCAGGATGGCAGATATACCAAAAACTAGCGCGTGCGCATCATTTAATATCAGTCATTACTCTGTTGTTTTAAAATTAAATTAAAATATTGAAACTCCTCACACTTTTTTTTTGTCCATAAAGGCTTTAAAATTCCTTGGTGAAATGACACCACCCAGTTACAAATGTCAAATGGTCAGGGAGCCTCCGTCACTTTATTTTTGTACCATACCGACAACCTGAACGTTTTCACATTACACACTGTTTTATAAGGTCTTTTGAACGTGTGCTGGCGGGTTTATACCAGTAAGCACATTCATTTAGTGGCGTGTTCTTACTTGTTTGTTATAATCATGTCACTCACGCATGCCAGGTAATTTCTTATGTACATAAGTGAAGATTGTTTATAATTTATTCCTCTAAACGACGTTCACATATTCTCAGCAGCTGTTAGCATAAATTACCTTTGGTATTCTGAAGACACACAGTCAAATGTCATGCCAGCAATTAGACAGACAGCCCTGCCCACCGTCTGCCGCCTTATTTAACATTTTTCACCTTTTTATAAATACCCACATGCAATAATAATAGCACTTTTTGAATAAGTAATTGCCAGCCATGTTGAGTGTGTCACAAATTCAATGACTGAGTCAGTATACATATTGCAGCAGTTGCACGTGGTCTTACAACATCCGCTGCCGGGATCCAAACTGCTTTAATATTGTCTAATGTTATATTACAAATATTACAGTACAGCAGCATCGACAGCATTCGCTGTTCTCTACCCTGGCCTGAATGCATGTATCTCACTGCTGTAAGGGGGCTTTACAGTGTTACGTAATTCATTGTAGTCATGGAGACCATGTGAACGTGCAGCAATGTGCACTCCTAGTATGCAGCTCTCAGTGATCCAGGTTTAGTTGTTTTTGTGATACAGGTAACGTCGTTCATTAATGTCACCGTACAATCCTTATTTATTAAAATAGCTTTTTTATAACAGGTGTTTTTATGAATTCATTTAAAAATGTTTGAGTTTCATAAACATTCAAATGCATATAACAAATTACTAGAGATGATAGCTATACATAGTGCTGTCAAATAGATTAATCGCATCTAACAAGTGTATGTTAAAAATAAGTTATATATATGTATATATATATATATATAAACCCCAAAATGGAAAATTCTGTCATTAATTACTCGTCGTCATGTCGTTTCAAAGACCTTTGAAAATTAAACCTAATAAACAAATATATATTTTTGATGAAATCTGAGAGCTTTCTGGATCCTACTTATTTAAAAAATGATCAATTTAATCATTCCATTAAACCATAGCATTTTATGTAGCTATTTTAGTAATAGATCCATTTATTTTTCTCTCTCTCTCTCTCTCCAATAGGGTTGACTTCAACGTCCCTATGAAAGACAAGACAATAACAAATAACCAGAGGTGAGATGGATATTGCTGATATACCAATATCGTTGCATTCTTAACCAATAATGGTTCTTTCTTATCTCATTGAATTCACCATAATTCCCCTTTGTGCTGTTCATGTGCTCAAACTGTCAACTGCAATGTTTTTACCTTGAAAATTGTCTCACAGCTTTGTTGATTATAAAATTTTAGTTGTATACAATCATTCACTTTTGCATGTCTATATTTTCTTGCAAAATATTAAAGAAAATATTAAGATTACTCAATAAATGTTAGTGCATAGAATGTCAGCAGTATTTTTAATGTTTAGTTTAGTTTGAGCAAAGTTATATGTTGTATATAGACCTCACTCACAGTTGAAAAACATATGTTGGCCTTGTGCTACAGTATTTGTAACTAATATTATATATGCTCTCATCAGAATCAAGGCTGCGGTCCCATCAATTCAGCACTGTTTAGATAATGGGGCCAAAGCTGTAATCCTGATGAGCCACTTGGGCCGGCCTGATGGAGTCCCCATGCCAAACAAGTACTCTCTGGAGCCTGTGGCTGCAGAACTCAAGAGCCTGCTGGGAAAGTAGGAGAGCTCAATCTAGATTTCTTAACCTACACATTACACCATCAGTTAGAGATAATGTAAACCTTCAAGCTACACCTGTTTAACAGCACTGATAAATAGTTTTACTGCGTAAACATTAGAAATGTATGGTAGAAAAGCGTCATCGAGATGACATCTTAATAGTAATCAATGCATACTTAATTCAGCTTAGTACTTCGCCACCAACCTTGCTGTTTAATTTGCCTCTAAAGAGACATTCAGTTCCTGAAGGACTGTGTGGGTCCAGATGTGGAGAAAGCCTGTGCAGACCCTCCTGCCGGTTCTGTCATTTTGCTGGAGAACCTGCGTTTCCATGTGGCCGAGGAGGGCAAGGGCAAAGATGCATCGGGGAACAAGGTCAGTGCAGCGTATGTCAGTGGCTCTGCAGGTAAAAAGTGCTTGGTCATCTTAGGCCCCGTTTACTCCTGGTATTAAGATGCGTTTTGGTCGATTGGGTCACAAATGGATGACTCTAAATACAGGCGTAAACGGGGTTTAAAACGTTTTGAGCTTGTCCCCTTTTGGACCACTTCCAGGGGTTTTCGTAGACTCATTAGATCGGATTGCGTTCATAGTGTAAACGGTCATGTGGTCGAATGTTAAAGAAAGGCAATAAAAAGATTGTTCAAAAACTAGTAAAAACTATAATGAATGTGTTAAATAATGTTCTTAGTCTTTCCTTCCTTTGACTCTGCGGCCCAGAAAGAAGCCCCAAGAGTTTACGTTGAATTAAATGCCAGATACAGACTTTAAATTTGATCATACAGTAGGATCTTTGGCCTGAAATGCCACACGCTTAAAGAAATGAAATAATGAGCGCAGGTTAGTTTGTGTAGCTTTGAATAGGCTATACTGTAAAGAAAGCCATCTGTAATAAGGGTGGTTTTACAAATGCAGAGGCTAATAATTGGCTTTTTTCATTGTGTTGGAGCTTGTCTGCAAAGCACAAGCTACTACTGTTAAAGCCTTCTTTGGCTGTGTGTGCGCATGCAGAGATACTGTACTCAGCTGTAGGGCTGTGTATCACCAACAATGTCACGATACGATACGTATCACGATACTAAAGCCACGATACGATATGTATCACGATATGGATCAATTTGGAATTTAAATTTCTTTTGAGCTGAGTTTAGTAACAGTAATATCTGCTTATTGAATAACCAGTGTTATAACAGTTGTGACAACTGAAAAACAATGAGTTAAATGAATAAAAAAGCTTAGAATGGCTCTTCCTTCTGCTTTTAAAGTCTACCTCAATAACTGAAATGACAATTATAGTGACACTGAACTGAAGCATGTCTACACTGCTCAATGACTAAACAAAACATTCCATAAAAGCAAAAACGGTAACAACTTAAATTTAACTTAGTTTTCTCAAACTCTTTTAAACACCTAGTATTTAACAGGTCTTAAGTGTTGGAATGTGCACCAAACAAAGTCATTTCTTCTACGTTGAAATCATTTTAAATGATTACATTTTCAAATTTTTATGCAGAAACAACAATTGATTGACATGCTCAGGGTTAAGAGAGTGACAGCAGAATATCTCGCTTAACTTCATCATACAACCGGGGAATTGCCGTTTCTGTTAAAAACCTGTATGCTTATTTAAGACATAACCAACTGTGTTTAGAGGATACTTATCAAGAACGAAATTTTTGACATCATTTTGCGTGTTTTAGTCTGTTAAAGCGATATAATCTCGCGAGCTGTATGTGAGGCGGTTTTACTCTAGTCTATAGGCCTATATGCACGCAGAGAAAACCAACTCTCAGAGAGCGCGCAAGTAGGCTACTGAATAGTTTAAAATCGTTTGAATGTTTAAACTGGTAAGACTTAAAGACATGCAAATGGTAAACTTTAGTCACGATGGCCCGATTATGCAAGTGAATATTCCGTCATGTCCCGACTCCTAACCGTGAGCAGGGGCGTCGGACTGGGGGTAAAACCAGTACTGATTACCAGGGCCCCAAGGGGAGAGAGGGCCCTTGAAAAGTCTGGAATATATTGTATTTGGAACATGGGGGCCCATCAGGACTGCCTATACATAGGGCCCGGGATCTTGTGCTACGCCCCTGACCGTGAGCGTGTAGTTTCACCGGCTGCAGCGCTGGACGCTTGCCCGAGACGAGAGAGAGAGAGAGACGCAGCACTGCATTGAAATCACGCTGTTTGTGAAATTGCGTCTCACAGAAAGTTTTAAAATGACTGATTTGATTTTATAATCTGTGTGGATTCATTTACTAATACTGCAACCTACATGCTAAAGTGAATCAATGTTTCCGGGAATGTCCAGCATTATAAACTGCGGGAATTATTAAAATTATGCGCAATCCCGCGCCGAAATTGGAGCCCTGAATTGGCTACATTCAAAAGCACAAAAGTATCGATACGGCAGCTGCTGTATCGATACGCGTATCGCCAGGAGTTCATGACGATATATCGTTGTATCGATATTCTGAGCACAGCCCTACTCAGCTGACCTATTGACATTTGTAGGAAGGTCATGTGTGATCATGATTCATGTGGCTTTTCTGGTCCTCGAAGCCCTGGCTGGAATGCATGCAGGGAAGAGGAGAAGAGAAAGGGAGGGGGACGAGTAGAGACCAAAGAAAGAGACAGGGAAACTGCCATGTCCTTTGCTGGCAAGAAACTGCAGTGAACTGCAGCTTGGCATTTTCTGGGCTCCTGTGTAACCTTTCATTCACAGTAGTTTAGAAGTTATGAACTTTGAGTGCATGCGGATGGCAGTAATATGATCATAATGGCATGTATCGTTGGTCTTCATCCAGGGGTCCTTCTGTAACTGGGTTTAAAATACTTTCTCCAGTTTACTATGCAAACACACAACTGCAAGTTCACCATTTTGCTGGTCACATAACACTGAAAAGCAGTGTTGCCAGATTGGCTGGATTTTCAGCCCAAAAGCTCCCCAAAACCCACCCAATGTGATTAACTAAATAATATTGATCAAATAAAATGACAATGAATCAATTTCCCAAGAGGAAACTGCACTTAAGGCTGTTCACACAAAGATAAATATTCAGTGAAATGAAAATGTTTAAATTGTACCATATTTTCACACCCATGCCTCACTTCATTTTCATGTAAATGAACAGTTACTGTTGATGCAGCAATTTGTTTTATGAAGAGGGGTTCAAATGTCTTTTCTATCACACAAACTGGTCAACAAATAAGACTTGTGCGTTTGGTCATGTGCACAGAGGCACTGTTACATAAAGCTACGACTTGGTGGCGCTCACGAACAGACTATTTCACTAAGCGAAAGTGAATGGCAGAGAAAGAATCTGTAACCTGCTCTCTTGTATTCGTATAAAATCTAAAGGTTTTAAAACGCTTAAATACTGTTTGATTACTTTCCTTCGTAAACGGAAAATTCCACAGTGCTGCTTTACGCACTGAGGTAAGCAAGGTGTTTCTTCTCTTCAATAAGTGCCACCTACTGTCAGAGTGAATTTGCATTTTTATTCAGCCCGTCTTTTTTTTTTTTTTTTTTTTTTTTTTTTCTGAATTAAACTTAAAGGTGCTCTACGTAACTTTTAGCGGCCTCTAGTGGTGATGTTTCAGATTGCAACCAAATTTGACAAGAGTGCTCGTGCTCGAACTCATAGACAATACCGTCTATTACGCAAATATCTCGGCGAATACTTGACGGATTCGGCGAGCACCGAGCTCGTTGGGACCATCTAGTCGAGCTGAAAAGAACCATATAAGTTCCATAGTTTTTGGTGGTGTTTTCGCGGAGATATTAGCAAAAAACCATCGGGCGCGCTGCAAAATTGCGGACGCCGGTGAGGTCACGATCTCAGAAGAAAATCGCTCGTATCTCTGGAACGCAAAGACCCAGAGAGCTCAAATTCGGGGGAGGAGGTCCCAGGGGAACCCTTGCCCGAACGCTAGAGTGGCGGGCCTCGGGGATGCCCCCTACTGGATCGCCGTTCGCTGGGACCCCCGATTTCGAACGGCTATAACTCGGGGAGCCGGGCGAGTTGGATCTCGGGGGTGGGCTCGTTCGAAAGGCCCCGTCCAGCACTACGAACGATTAGAGTCTTGGGAATATTGATCAAAGATTGACTGAGATATAAGCGGAAAACATGCGCCTTTAACCGGACGTAACTCCCTGACCGCATGCACGTCACATCCGTTGGATTTCGCGGTAAATCCGACCCGGAGACTTCACATAGAAATAGGAATACTGGCCTTCAGAGGTAATGGCAAAACTCGACAAGTGGATCATTTTAATGTGTGATTACAACCCCTTCACACACAGGCAATAAAAAAAGGATTCATTTTAGTAGAAAAGTTTCATAGAGCACCTTTAACAGTCAAATCGCAGGTGCAATTCAGACTGAATTTGTTCGCCACAGTTCACCTTTAATGTGGAATTTGTTTATTATTATTTATTCTTCAGGTGGCGTCATATGACTTATAAATGATTTTGATTTATCTTTTCAGACCAAAGCAAGTCAGGCGGAAATCGATTCTTTCCGAGCCTCCCTGTCCAAGCTGGGTGATGTTTACGTCAACGATGCCTTTGGAACTGCGCACAGAGCTCATAGGTACTCCATTACACAAAACTGTGATAGGAAAATAAAAACTTGCATTGTGTTTAGTCTGAAAAATATCAACATGAGACAAATTCTTTTTTCCCTTGGTTTTCATGTCTAATGTCTCACTCCAGCTCCATGGTTGGAGTGAATCTCCCTCAGAAGGCAGCTGGTTTTCTGATGAAGAAGGAGCTGGACTACTTTGCCATGGCCCTTGAGAAACCACAGAGGCCTTTCCTGGCCATTCTCGGGGGGTGAGTGTTATTGACGGAGCACTCTGATAGCTTATCTTTTTAGTTCTGAATACTGTCTTGCTTAAGGAGGATAAGTATCCAGGTTTAGTGATTAAAAACATCAAAAGACCTTTCTTTGGTCCTGCAAGATCTTGTTCATGATCTAAGGAAAGGGCTTTTATAGAGTTCACCAACCGAAATGAATGACTGAAAGAATATTGGGCTGTACTTCAGTCTTTTTTTAGGAAGCATCTGTCTTTTCTCCATTGAAAACCACTTCAGAAAGCATCAGTGACAGTCCAGGAATAGTTGCATTTATCCTCTTGTGCAGGATGTGTGACAATGTCCTTGTTCTACGGTTCTTTAAGCCTCACATATCTGGCCAAAGAAAAAATTATTTACATTTGTAGATTTTTACCTTTTTTATAGTGTTATATCATGATGGGGAAACCGACGTGATTCAATTGTGCAGGGTGCAATGATGGCAAATAAAGCCATGATCACTACAAAGTGTTCTTGTGGAATGGATAATTGAATGCAAAAGTCAGGCCATTGCACAACTTAAACACTCATTATGTACTTACTGAAGCAGTTCATATCTGATGTTTGTCCCAAATATCAAAGTTCACTCAGGGAATTGGCCCATTGATAAGCTGAATTGCAGTGCACGAAAGCCTTAAGCTTTTGACTTCTAATTAGACCGTTGTAGGGCACTTCCTGCAATTTTTCTCAGTTTCATCCCAATAAGATTTAAATGCAGATAAAATGAACATTTCATTGAAAAGGCTTTGATTGATTGATTGTTGTTTTGATCGGACAGTGCCAAGGTCAAAGATAAGATTCAGCTGATCAACAACATGTTGGACCAGGTGAATGAGATGATCATTGGTGGAGGAATGGCCTTTACCTTCCTCAAGGTTCTCAAGAACATGGAGGTGAGTGGCCTGAAGCTTCCTTCACACTGCAAACCAAAGTGGGTTTTTTGGGGGGGAGCTTTTTTGTTAAGTCTAAGTTGATCGTAGAGACCATTGGTGACAATTGTTCTACGATCAACTTCGGCTTATGATGCTTTTGGGAAACGCAGCCCTGCACATTACCTCAATTTTTGGAATTGAAAGTTGAGGTTGTTAATTTATTTATCCATAAACTTATCTGGGTATGTCGCATAACCTGATTTCTGGAATACCCTCCTAGAGTTATAAATATTGTTTTCTTGTTGTGCTCAGATCGGCACTTCCTTGTATGATGAAGAGGGTGCCAAAATTGTGAAAGACCTCATGGCTAAAGCTGAGAAGAACGGCGTGAAGATCGCACTTCCTGTTGACTTCGTCACCGCAGACAAGTTTGACGAGAAGGCGGCAACGGGGACTGCATCAGTAGCAGATGGTATTCCAGCTGGCTGGATGGTAAGGCAGACACGTGTCAGATTGTTTAGAGCTATAAGATCTTCTCCTTTTCCTGTAAGTGAACTGGAAGCAGTTGTCAAAAGAAGCCCTTCTGGTTGTCCTTCCGTCCAGGGTCTGGACTGTGGTCCTGAGAGCTCAAAGCTCTATGCGGAGGCTGTAGCCAGAGCCAAGCAGATTGTGTGGAACGGACCTGTTGGTGTGTTCGAGTGGGACAACTTCTCTCGTGGAACCAAGAACTTGATGGACAAAGTTGTGGAAGCGACCAAAAATGGCTGCATCACCATTATTGGTGAGAATTTAATTGAATTGAATTTTTCATTCAAGTGGCTGGCTTTTGCCTGGAATACATTTAATAACACATCTAATAGACTAATGGTTGACTGATATATTGTCTAGGCTGATTATTATTGGCAGATATTTGGCCATTTTTACCACCATTGGCATGACTTGTTTGCCTGGTTTTATTGTATTTATATGATTGAATTTTTGCCATGAAAATAGCCTTAGATGCTGACATGGCATTAAATAAAACGATTTATCTCACCATTGGCCGATAAGTTTCTCTGTTTGGATAATAAGGCTACGTTCACACTGATGTCAATATTATGTAAAATGAAATGTTTTTAAATGCAGAAATTGTTGTTAATCTTTAAATTAAATAGTGTGATATCATGTAGGCCACCCTGCTCTCTAAGATAACAGCCATCAAAATTTTATATCGATCTCTATAATAGACTAATAATTGACTGCTTTCAGGTGGGGGAGACACCGCAACCTGCTGTGCCAAGTGGGACACAGAAGATAAGGTCAGTCATGTGAGCACTGGAGGCGGAGCCAGTCTGGAGCTGCTGGAGGGTAAAGTGTTGCCTGGTGTCGATGCCCTCAGCAACGTATAAGAGGCTCTTCAGCCAGAGGTTGGGTGCTCATCTCTCAAGAAGCCCTCATCCTTATTCACTCAGTGTTTGTTTAGCATTCTATAACCTATCGGGGATGCAACAGACGACTACTCCACTCTCTATGGACCGCTAACAGTATGCTGTGCTAGACTCCCTGACCTGGGCTGCGTTTCTCAAAAGCATTGTGAGCTAAGTTGATCGTAGAGACCATTGGTTGCAATGGTTCTACGATCAATTTAGGCTTATGCTTTTTGAAACACAAACCTGTTCACTCATACACATCCATTTGTTTTTCTTCCATCAAATTACCTAAAGGGTTTCTCATTCAAGGTATTTTCATCGGTTATGAGCGAAAGGTTGACATCAGCAGTAATGACGATTCCTGTTATGATTGTTACCTGCTTAAGTGTTCATGTGTGTCCCGTTGTAGTGTGAATGTGTGCATTCACTGTAAACCGTTGTGTGTTGTAATTCTAGAGTTTATATTTGATATTTGTTGCCTTCCCACAGATGTTGAGGACCTGTAAAAATTTAGACACTTTTCTCCCCATATTGCACTTGTCATAGACCTGCAGCTTATGAGATAGATGTTCTGCACTAGAATTATTATAATGGGCTAATGTTAGACCCAGACAACCTGTCGCGGAAAGAATGATAATAAAAAATATTTAAACTTCTTTTTTTTTTGCTTAGTCATTTTTTTTTGTATCTGCACACAATGTAATATTTTAATATATTATTATTGCCAAGTGTACATGCATACTTTACCTGCATACATATGGTGTAGTCACATAAAGCCATATATAGCTAATCCCTTACGAGCAAGTTATTTTTTAGTAAACCAGAAACACTGATAATATTACTTTTGTAAAAATGTTATGCAAGTCAGTCAGACAACTCAAAACTGAACGACTTTGAATGGTGTTCTAATACCAAAAGTTTCCGAGGCGTCATTAAGTACAGCAGGGGAAACATAATGGTACTGGGGATGCATGTCTCCTCTCCAGCGGGTGTTGGAAAGATCTACAAAGTTGCTGGCACTTTGAAAATGGACCAATATTTGGTCCATTCAGAATCCTCTTGAACAATGTAGCCAAGATCGGTTTGGAGATAAAATGTCTATTTTCCATTAAAACGATTCCAAACGCACTGTGCATGCAACAAACGTCCCCTGAACTTGAAAACCTTTGAAAATCTTTGGGAAATTATAAACCTGAATTGTGATCAGTCAATGAAGCTTTGGGAAGAACTTGAGGAGGGTTGAAAAGAAGTTAAGCATGACACGTCCACTATGTTAGTTGAGTCTATGCCCAGGAGAATGGCTTCGGTAATCAAAAACAAGGGAAAACCAACCATTACGTTAGTCAATGTATGCTTTCTTCCTGACCTGTGAGCTTTTTGTTTTTTCAATGTCTTTTTTTGATTAATACAATAAAACCCATAATTAATTATATGTCGGAGATTGCTTTTCTTGCCAAATAATTTTGTCATTTTAATACCTTAGTGTGTTCTTCCCAATAGCCTATAACATCACTCTTTTTTTTTTTTTTTTTTGCTGCTTATTCAAATTGTTTAGTTAAAATAAGCTAAAGCAACACAATTGCTATAGATTTTGTCCTAACTTAGTTTGTGTTCAATCCACTTCTATCCACATAAGTAAAATTGAAGTTTATTAAACCGTTTGTGTTGGGATTACATGAATGAGTTGTTGAATTAACTGAAACTGGGCAGTGCTTGTTAGTTCCCAGCATGCTGTGCAAATGGCTGAATCTAGAGCGAGTACATTTTGAAATTAAATGAGAAAATGGGGAGACTTGATAATAATGTGTAATAGTGTTTAAGGTTCAATTATGTTGGAATGATTAGAACCATTTAAATTACACTGGGTTACCATTGTGGAGAAGAGTGGAGCATTTGCGATCATCTGGACTGATTGTGATACAAGAATCCTTATACTGCATTTTTAAAAGATCAACTGACGCTAAGATTTTTGTGTGCTAATTTTAATTGCACACAGTCTTTCGATTTCGAATTGGTTGTGGAACACACTAAAATATTTGAACCTGAATTAGAAGAACGAATATATGAATTTCAATACATGAATCAGATCACTTAAAATGACTTCTTTCCATGATATTGGAATTTAGATGTTGGAGTTACATGAACAAATTTTGTTTGTTTAACGTAATTGATTCATGTGGGGCCGATGTACAAGCTTAAGTGTATTCCTCATATTTTAATTGTTTAATAACACCTTAAGTGTCATTAAAAGCAAATATTGTGCCAATAACCTCTCCGGACATCACTTTTTCGCCACTACTGCATAAGTTTGAAAGCCCCTTATCTGGACTACATTTCCCATAATGCACGTCGTCTTAGCTCCGCCCTCACCTGCCGAGGTGTGGATCGTCATTCAACAACAGCTGTGAGCGAAAAGTGCGGGGTTCTTTTTGGGCTCGAGGTAAGATTATGTTTTGAAATTATGTCACATGCGAAGATCAAGTCAGTAAAGACTTATGAGAGGGTATTTATCTAACCAACAACTGTATCACAACACACAGCAGTGGAAGAGATCAGAATGCTAGCTTACTGTACATGTGTAATGATCCAACGAAAGGCTTTCATAGGATTTTATTCACAATTTATTCCAAACAATAACTTTGGTAAACAGTCTGAAATCGAGATCTTTATATTAGGGAATTGTTTGGTGTTTGTATGCTACATTCAGTGCTTGTGTGATGTGGATTTTTAAGAAAAGATGCAGAAGACGAGAGTGTAAATACAACAAGCATGATTTCAATCGAGGAGTGGAGCCCAGACCAAGTGTCCACATGGATGAAGCATATTGGATTTCCTCAATATGCACAGAGTTTTGTGGGTGAGGTGATTCATTTTCATCGAACATACAAAGTTACAACATCACAAAGACGTTCAAAGTAAAAGGCGGTAGACTTTTGTGTGTTAAAGTAATAATTTGTCTAAGTTGTCAAACGTGGCGACATCACAAGAGGGCGCTCAGTTACAGTGTTCAACCCTCATGTTTTGCTGAGATTGACTTTTTGTTTTGGTTCCTTGATATTTCCACCCCAAACACAAGTAATATAAGTTTGAAGTGTTTTATCAATACGAAATTGTGTTCATAAGAAGAGTATGTAAACAGTTTTACATATTTATTCCTTCACAGAAAATGGATTTTCTGGATTAGATCTCCTGGAAGTCACTGATTCAGTTTTAGGTAAGAATACATGCTTTTCTTGTCTTACATAAAAAAAAAAAGAAAGAAACTTAAGACACTTTCAGGTCGGAATTTTAAACATTTTTATTACCCATCTTCACACCGAATATGTTTAATGTCGCTGTATAGGTGTTAATTAGTTCACATGAATAATTGTTCATGCAAACTGCAGGGCCTCATAGTATTTTTGTCACATGTAGTAGTCTGTTTCTTATTGAGGTAGGTAATATATTTATTTTACAGGTCTGAGCCTGTCAGTAACAATCCTTTGTTGTTTACAAAACCCCATTGAACATTTACCATTACTTCAAACAAATGTAGAGCTATTCAGCTTAGAAAGTATGAGAGGATAGAGCCATTATAGGGTGTGGTTTTGTTTATTTAGTAGAAAGGCATCTTTCAAGCCATTATCATTAGGCTTTTGCAAATGCAGCCATATGCTATTGTACTGCAGCTGTTCTCAGAGTCCAGAGAAATATTGACAATAACACTAAACTATTTCTTGTTAAATTTACTGCTGTGGTTTTTAGAACTTTAGGGGATGGTATTTTATTATTTTATAGCTCCTGTTTATGTCATTAAATTATGTAAGATTAACATAGGCTACCTTGAGTTATTGAAATCCATTTGTTACTGTAAAATGTACTGATAATAACAATGGAAAGCCACGTAGCCAACATGATGACTCGATACGTCCAACAAAATTTGCCTCTCCGGCAGCTGTAATAGTAAATTTACATGTAATCAACTCTTTTAAATAATAATTGGCAACTTAGCCTACGTTATTTTACACGCATTCACGCGACTCGAGAGTTGAGTCCCGCGGAAGGGACCTATGACATAGCGTAAGCTTAGGTCAGAATAGACGACTCCTGCAAAAAGCGTATCGAAATCCTCAGACATTTTTCTTTAAAACTGTCATGTCAGAGGTTACCCTTCCGCGGGACTCAACTCTCACGCGTACTGCCGTTGCCAGAAGCCAGTGATTATAGTTTAGGCCTATGAAGTTTTAAATATGGATATTTTATTATAAAAACCCATTGCTTCACTTCAGAAGGAATTTATTTACCCACTGGAGTCGTATGGATTACTTTTATGATGAATGGATGCGCTTTTTGGAGCTTCAAAAACTCAGGCATTTTCAGTGCCATTAAATCTGGGAAGAGCCAGGATATTTTTTAATATAACTCTGATTGTGTTCAGCTGAAAGAAGAAAGTCATATACACTTAGGGTGGCTTGAGGGTGAGTAAATTATGGGACATTTTTGGGTGATTCTTTAATGAATGAATGAATGAATGAGGCATTTATATAGATGAAGATGTTTATATAATCATATTAATAGATGAAGAAGCAACAAATATGGCAATTATTGAGGAGGAAAGCAAGACTTTTTATATTTCTTTAATTATTTTCTTCTGAAGTGACTGAATCTGTGGGCTGTGCTACACATAAGACTCTTTGACAGGCTCCTGATTTTCAAGCCACACAAAAGCTTTTTGTACTTTTCTTGCTTGAGCGACGTTCCTTAAAGCCAACAGAAGAACAGGAACAATCGACAAACTCTCTGAAGGAGGGCTCTCCTGGCTTTAGAAAAAAATGCTTTGGATTCCCTTAAAGTTCTCAGCAAAGGGGAACAGTTTTTTTTCTCCTCACGACTCTTGAGTTTGTAAGTAATTCGCTGCAAGTTTCGTATGAAGAGGAGGGCAGTCCTAGTCCTTCCCCTCACAGCACTCTTAGTGGAAGAAAACACATTTCAACAACTCAAAAAAAATGACAAGGAGAAGGGGGGACGCGTTTTATGTGAACAATAGTGCAAAGATGATCGCAAAGTTCCCCTCGGTCTGACGCGTTTGCACAGCGTGTTCGACGCTTTGGAATCCGCCGAAAAACTTGTAACGGACTTAGGACGCGCAAAACCGGCGGCAGATCGAAATAAAGCGGGACTTGGCGAAACCTTATCAAGGTAAATACCTTTTAACAGATTACTCATGTGAAAATCATTATTTAAGTCGATTTACAAAGATTCTTTTTTTTTAAGTTAAGCGAGTTTTACTCAGTCTGCAAAAGTTCCAATATTGCGAATGCAAATGTGAGGCTTATCCTTGTTTTAACGATTTCGTGCTTTGAAAACATATGAAATTTTATTAAATAAGTTTATCAGTTTATGTGTAAACTTTGCATGCATCCTTACAGTGAATGGTTAGCATTGCTGTTACTCTGTAGGATAGGAACGATAATGACATGCGCAGTTCTGACACATTAGCTGCAAGTCACCCTGCTCCATATGGCCTCGCGACATGCATGAACAGTGTGCACTAAGCTATTAATAATATGTGATTAAATATAAGGTATTAATATAAATATATATTCTGCAGAATCATGTTTTAGGCTATATGATAACTGATTGTTAAAAAGGCAAAGTTTTGCCACACAGATTCACAAAAGCTGTCAGCCTCATTTACTTTTACCATTGCACTTACTTCTATTGTAATTTATGTTAAGTAGTGAATTAGGCTGCACAGGATGATTAGAGGTCCTGCTGACGGATGTCACCCCACTCCTCTGAGGAATGTCGCCCAGAGCAGAGGGGGAGCAGGACACAGATATGCACACTACATAGGGCAGGAATGCAGTCATGTGTTATTGGAAATCAAAGCAAGAGGCCAAGTTATGAGGAATTCTTGGGCTTTATTAAGTGAAACTAATTGCCTTTTACTACTTAACCATTGCTAGCAGGAGTACAGACCCTTCCTCAAAATGCTTTCATTGAGTGCTTTGCATTTAAGTGCTCCCTCTGAATGTTGGGAGATAACCAAAATGGTTACTGAGGTAGCCATGGACGACATTCCAAGAAATGTCCGTCACTCTTCCAGGACGAACCCACAGCTTTATTAGTTGGACGCTCAGCATTCGGATGGTCTCCTCTCTCTTCCTTTTATCAGTGCTTTCCGGTGCTTTTAGTTGTAAAGGTAGTGAACGATTGCCAGAAAAGTGCCTAGCGGCGCTGACTCACGGTGCAGGAATGTCAGCTCTTTTGCTTTCCCCTCCTCTCTCCATCTCTTTCCATCCCTCACTTCCTTTGGCCCCTGCCACCCTCCTCTCTTTTTTAAGAGGGGCCAGAGTTGCTTGCTGACTCAGCCTTCAATTCACCCAACTGCCTTTTCCATTGAGCTTTTTGGGAGTCCAAAAACCTGTGTTCTTGAAGTTTTACAATTAGGTTGTGTCCAGCTGAGAACACCTCATCCCCCGATCCCCTCGAGGGAAACGGCCGTGTCCATATAACACAAAAACACCCTTTCAAAGACATTGGTAAAGGGATATGGCGCTTACTAAGGAATGTTGATGAAACTGATAATGAAAAGTTGACAGCAGATATATTTGGTTAGTTGAGTCTGTGCTGAACCTTTAAAGGGATAGTTCACGCAAAAATGACAATTCTGTCATCATTTACTCACCCAAGTTGTTACAAACCGGAATGAATTTCTTCTGTTGAACACAAAAGAAGATATTTTGAAGAATAAGGGTAACCAAACAGTTGATGAGCCCCATTGACTTCCATAGTATAAAAAAAAAAAAAAAAAAATACGAAAGTCAATGGGGCTCATCAACTGTTTGGTTACCGACATTCTTCAAATTTTGTGTTCAGCAGAAGAAAGAAACTCATACAGGTTTGGAAAAACATGAGGGTTAGTAAATAAATGATGACAGAATTGACTTTTTGGGGTAACTATCCCGTTAAGACTTTTATTTTGCTTGGCCGTTGTACTAACAAAAGAAAATTAACTGTGTAAAAAACAATGACTACAAGATCAAACCAAAGCCTCTTCTGTATATTTTGTATTATGTAATATTTGTCATATTTTGTAATGTGTCTTTGTTTATAAAAATGTAGGTTCAAAATGACTTTTACAAAAAATAACAGCCACATAGGAAGACGAGTTGAACTAGAGGTTGAATCCATTTTATCTATGTTTGTGTGAATAAGTAAGTAAATACAGATATAACTCAACCTAAACTCAACTTAAAATAGCCTAATTAAAAGAATTAATCGATTATCAAAATAGCTGTTGCCCTAGTGCTAACTATCAAAGTATATCTCAGACAGCGTCTTGTGTAACCCAATGCCCCAGCATGATGCGTACCTGCTTACCTCAGGGAATTGAAGTCAGACACCCCTGTGGTGGAGTGTGTCACTATTTTTCAGACACAATCACATGGGCGAGGTACAGTGTCTCATCTTGGGTCTAATAATTGCTTAAGCTGGATGTGTCACTCAAATTTTCAGAATTTGGGGGAAGGCACCGCAAACCAGACAGTGATTTGACTCCAGATGGTCAAATTGGGTATATAATGCTTTCTGTTTTGACCTCTCTTTGTTTTTTGTTGATAAAATAACAGTAACACTTTACAATAAGGTTCCATTTGTTAATTTATTTTATTTTTTTTACAAATTAATTAAACCAACAATGAAAAGTACTTTTAAAGCATTTTATAATCTTAGCTAATGTTAATTTTAGCATTTATTAAAATCAAAAGTTGTATCTATTATTGTTATTTAATGGGCCTAACATGTCATGAACTAAAAATGTTGTATTTTTATTATTTAACAAAGATGAATAAATACTGTAACAAATGTATTGCTCATTGTTAGTAATGCTTTAATGTTTTTACACATTAGCCAATGGGACCTTATTGTAAAGTGTTACCAAAATAACTTGACCATTTGGTTGACTGAAGATTTACCTTTCCAAAAGCGTTGCATTAGTGGTGTTGCTTTAGTGGTGTACACACACATATGTGGTGGTATACACATATTTATTTATATATAAATATAATTTTTGAAACATGACCAGGTCACATTTCCATTTTTTGAGATTTATCCATTTAAAATGTAAAAATCTAATTGAATGTGTTCTTTTATGCTGCTGTTATCTCTGGGAAAATCATTTTGAATCTTCCTGTTTAATAACAAAGACATAGATATTAAAATTGTAATGAC